GGTAATGCTGGCTCCGCGGGCCGGGGGTCCCGGGTGGGGTGGGGGGAAGCTGTCTCTTTGCCGCAGCTCCGTCTGCGTACGCGTGGCAATCTTCTCCTCGCTTCATTTCTTAAAAGCCGGGGTTACCTGGCAGGCTGCTGTGGGTGAGCCTGCCGGGCTCCCTCCGTGGTTTGGGTGCAGCAAGTGGAGGGGCTCTGCCTGAGCAACAGGATCCCCGGATCTGCCCACCGTGGGGGCAAGACCCCTGCTACAAGCCCAGGCCCCAGCGGTAGCAGAGGGCGTGAGGGTGTCCGTAAGCAGCGTACCACCGAGCCTCGAGGCTGCTGACTGTGTTCTGCAGCTGCACCAGATAACTGGAGGCTGATGCTACTGCGCCGTTTGTCTCCAGCTCTGTCCAAGTCCAGCAGAAGAGCTCAGCAGTTGTCCAGAGAAAATCCTACGTCCCCTCTAGCAAGGGCGAGTATATCGTCACCAAACTCGACGACCTGATCAACTGGGCGCGAAGGGTGAGTCGCTGCAGCTGGCGTGCTCGCTGGGGAGAGGTGGCACCAAACGCTCTGAGGTTTGAGCCATCGCCTCCTCGGGATAAAAATAGGTTCAGAATTCTCCGCGGGGAAATAGCCGAGCTTCTTGGCCAGGGGCTGGCATCTGGGGTGCTGTGTCGGAGTGGGAGGGAGACGCTCGGTGTGAGGGGGTGCGGAGCAGCGCACGCTGCCTGGCCGAACAGAGCTGTCCTTCAGCCACGAGCAGAAGGCGTTTTGTGATTTGACAAAGTCCGTGCGGCGAGCGCCTGCTCCGTGCCGTGGAGCAGCCTGCACAGGTGACGCTGCCCTGAGCCCCGTGTGCTCTGGCTTAGCTGAGCTTTGCCTTCTCCCGTCACCGTGCCCCATGCTTCCGCGGCGGCTGGTTTAGCAGCGTGAGGCCCAAAGCGGAGAGTCAGCGGCTTTGGGCGCGCTCAGCACCTCTGAGGCTGCAAAGGCGAGGGTCTCTGCAGATCTGTTTCCCTGCAGCCGTGGGTTTTGCCCTGCTGCGTGACGGCCAGCACCGCTTTCATGGCTGAAGCTCTGACTAGACAGGCCGTGAAGGTCCCCTCGTTCCGTTTCCTTTTCTGTCTGATCAGCTCTCGCTCTGCGACTCGCCCGCCCAGGGTCTCGGCTCCGGCTTGCAGCGTTCTTGCCCGTAACCCGCCTCTCCCCTGCTGCAGAGCTCCCTGTGGCCGATGACGTTTGGCCTGGCGCGCTGCGCCGTGGAGATGATGCAC